CACTCACGGGGAGCCTGCCGCAGGCTGTAGACGGGGCGCCGGAGGAGCCACTTGGTCCCCGAAGGGAAGGTACCAGTGAAGCCCTGAGGGCGACGCAGGTAGACCTGCTCGTGTAGACTGCCCTGAAGAAACGCAGTGGAGAAGTCAAGGGAGTGAAGCTCGTAGTCACGCTGCGCTGCTACGTGTAGTAGCACCCGAAGAGTAGTCATCTTCGGGGTCGGAGCGAAGGTCTGGAAGACGTCGACCCCCTCACGCTGACTGAAACCTCTAGCCACGTAGCGCGCCTTGAACACAGGCGGCTCTCCAGGAAGGCGCTTCACCTTGAAGAGCCAGCGGCCGTCAACTACGTTCACCCCAGGTGGGGGAACTGCGTCGACGTAGGTGCCGGTGGATTTCCATGATGCCTTCTCCTGCTCCATGGCAGCTATCAACTGAGAGGCCCAGGGTCCCGAGACCGCCTCAGCGTAAGTGCGAGGGGTCGGGATGTCGAAAGCGTCGGGGTCACCCTCAGGGACTAGAAGCATGAAACAGAGATGGGGAGTAGCCTCGGATAGGAAAGCAAGCTTGTACTGGCGGTCCTCCAGGACGTCACTGCCAGGGGCAGGAGCACCCCCGACAGACAAAGGACAGGCAGGGTCAGAGACCAGAGCGGTGGCGTAATCAAGGCGGCGGGTAGAGGCGAAGCCAGCGACCGCAGCGACAAGGGCGTCAAGGCTCAAAACCGGAACAGACGGGTCGGTAACGAGAGAGGCAAGGACCCGAGGAACAAGAGGACTAGCGGCATGCAGGTAGTCAGACAGAGGGGGGGGAGCAACGACAAGGGAGGACGGAGGGGGCGACGGGAGAAGGGGAGGACGAGACACGTGGGAACGAAGCAACATAGGGTGAGAGCGCGAGACAGGGGAGACGGGTCGAGCACGGGAGGGTCGGCGAGACCAGACGTGAGACGGGGGAGTCGGGTCAGGAGACAGAGGAGGGGACATAGGAGGGGAATGAGGGGGGAAACGGGCCGGAGACGCGTCCGAAGGAGGGAACACAGGGCCGGAGACAGGAGGAGGAGGAGGCATGGGCACGGGGTCAGGGGACGGAAGGCCAAGCAGGCAAAGAGTGGACACCGGCACGGAGTGCTGTGACGGCGGTGTGACGCTGACACCGGGACCGCAAGCTGCCGGGCGGCTACCTCACGAACACTCCACACCAGCACCCCCAAAAGAAACACCCCCAGAGCTCAGAACCCCTCGAGCACCGATACCACCCTTAGGCCCGCTGGGACAAGCCACGACAGGAGTCCCAGGACTAGTACCCACCCCAACTCCAGCACCCCCAGAGGCAACCAACTGCTGCGGCAACGGCTGCGGCGGCAGCGGTCGCAACGACGGCCGCGGCGACGGTGGCGGCGGTGATGACGGCTGCGACAGCGGTGGCGACTACGGCTGCGGAGGCGGCGGAGGAGGGGACACCTGAGAAGGGGCAGGCGGCGAGGACTGCACCGCAGGACTACCAGAGTCAGTAGACTCCTCAACCGGTACAACCGGCGTAAGTGGGGTGACACGGGACACACCAGAGGGGGCAGGACGGGGAGGGGGAGGAGGAGGGGCGGCGACGACCGGGGAAGGGGTGACAAGGAACAGGGGGGGGGTAACCGGGGGACCTCGGTGGGGGAAGCGGCGGAAGAAGGAGACGGACTCGTCAAAGGTGACGTCACGGGAGTGAAAAATCCTGTGAGACGGCAGGTGGTAGAAGTGCCAGTCAGACGCGTCAAGGGTAGAAACGACCAAGGACACCAGAGGCAAACTCGCCACCACGGTCGGAGTGGAGGCGCAAGACAGGGAGACCGCGACGGACACGCGCGGCGACAAGCCACGGGATAAGAACGGCAGGCACGTCGGCCTTCCGCTCCAGGGGGAACACAGTGGTGTAGCGGGTGTAGTCGTCGACAAGCACTAGGAAGTAGCGCTCTCGACGCGGCCCATGGACGGGGTCGGGGCCCCAGACGTCCATGTGCAGAGTCTGTAGCGGTGCAGCGGTAGGGTGAAACGAGGAGGAGTGAGGAGCACGGCGAAGCCGGCCCTCGACACAAGGCGTGCAAGGTGGGGCAGGGGAGGAGGGAAACTCAGAGAACGACCCAGGGAGGCCTAGGACGAGACCATGCTGTGACATGTGACGCAGACGCGGGAGCGCAGGGTGCCCTAGACGATGGTGCCACAGGAGAGTCGGGTGGGTGAGTGACCGACAGGAGCAGGCAGCAGCAACCTGCGTAGACGCAGCCACCTGAGGGGGGTTCCCAGCCGGGGGGGTCACAGTATCCAGTGTGAACAGTCCGGACACCGGGTCCCGGGGGAACGTGGTAAGGGGGGCACCGGTGGCGGCCTCGGTACAGACAGCGTACCGCTCGTGACCAGGGAACGTAGTGGTGATGCCAAGGTCCTGGAGGCAGCCGACACCAACTAGGTTCCTGGAGAACGAGGGGATGTGCAGGCCTGTGAGAGAGCCCGATGGAACCGCCAGGCAGGGGAGGGTGGTGGAACTGCAGGCGACTACAGGGCCAGAGGAGGGGTCAGCCAGGGAGACGGCGGCAGGGACAGGAAGCGGTGTCAACGTGGTGGAGTCGCGGAAGAAGCACCGAAAAGCGCCAGAGTCGAGGGTGAAGGAGAGCGTGGTAGTGGCGGCCGGAGGCGAAGTAGCGACGGAAGCACCAAGGCTAAACAAAGCAGGGGATCCTACGCCTGACGCAGCAGGGGAGTCTAAGGAAGGCACACCTACACTAGGCAACAAGGGGTAATAAGACGGAAGCACACTAGAGTCATCAGCATACATCACATGCAGAGCAGCAACAATCTCATCCATGTCCAGATCAAAAATATGAACCCTACGACTAAGCAAGTTGTGTCAGTCTGGGAGCTCGGGCGACGGGCCGAAACGCTGACGAAACAGGTCGTCCAGGCGACGGAAACAGCGGACGGAGGTATGACCGACCTTACCGCAAACGAAGCCACGGCGAGGACTGGTCTGAAGCAGGTACTGACAGCGCGCGGCACCCGAACCACCACTCGGCAGCCCACCACGCGCACCACCACCACGTCCAGCGCTGCCACCAGCGCTGGGCCACCCAGGCGGAAGACGACTCGTCCACCTCTGCTGCTGCTGCGACTGCTGCGGCTGCGGCGACGGCTGCAGCTGCGGCGGTTACGGCTGCTGCGGCTGGCGCGGGTCCGGCGGCAACACCGGCGACTGCTGAGATGGCTACTCGGTTGCACCTGTCAGGGTCCCCGCGTCAGCACTACCACTAGGTGACCCAACTCCAGCACCACCTACACCCGCACCCCCACCCCCGTCGCCACGTCCAGCCTTCGGGCGGCGACCCTTCCCCGGACGAACCTGTGCGGCAGCGGCAGTCTCAGCCACAACAGCAGAACCGTCGGAGAAGGGGCACTGAGCGGGGGCACAACCCTGAAAGATAGGGACCGGCACAGTACCGCTGGTCTAAGCGATAGAGCGGTGGTGGGCCTCTATAGCAGACAGGGTGTCAACAAAGTCAATGAGGGTAAGGTCTGCTGGGTGGACGCTAAGAATGCGGTCACGCGCAGTGGCAAGACGGTCAGGGAGGCGGATGGCTAGCAGGTAGAGAGTAGAGGTGAGGGGCGGCTGGTGGGCTAGAAGCTGTGTGGGGGTGCAGGCAGCACGCCAGGTCTCGTCTACGGTGCGCAGGTGAGCGGCCAGGTCGGCGACAGTGGGGAACGACGCAAGGTCAGGAAAGAGCATGGGGAGGATCAGACGACCGACTGAGGCAGCAGGCGAGGTGGAATAGCACTGGACAACAGCATCTAGGAAAGCCTGGGCAGCGGTGATAGACCTGAAGCGAGGTCGCTCGGACAGGGGGAGGGCATTGCTAATAGCAAGCTGTGCAACAGCGTCACGGGACAGCCAGACAGAGCGAGCAAGGGCAGCGGCTGCAGCGGACTCACGCTCAGCGGACGAGGGGTCAGGAGACAGGGCAGCGGGGGGGTCAGGGCAGGGGAGGGTACCATCAAGATGGACAAACAGCGAGTGGCCATCCTGCCGCTGACCAGTGAGATGGCGACGGAGGTCAGCAAGCCACGCATCAAACTCAATCGGCTGGCCCTCATCGTCAAAGCAAAGCACCGCCGCCATGAGCGACAATAGAGGGCAGTGTAGAGGAGGACAATGCGGTGCAGTGCTGTGCAGTACGGTGTAGTGCGGTGTAGTGCAGTGCAATGCGGCGCAGTGCGGTACAGTGCGGTATAGTGCGGTGTAGTGCGGTAGAAAGCGGTGCAGTGCGGTACAGTGCGGTGCAATGCGGTGCAGTGCGGTACAAAGCGGTGCAGTGCGGTGCAAAGCGATGCAGTACGGTACCGGGGGGGGTTCGGAGGGCGGTGCTGATCGGGAAGAACGGGCCAAACCCGAGGCAGCGGCGGGCCGGCAACGGCGCAAATGCAGGGGCCGGCCGGCGGGCGGCAAGTAGACACGGCCGCGACGGCGGCTAGGGACAGCCGCAACGGCGGCCAGGGACAGCCGCGACGACAGCCAGGGGCAGCCACGACGGCGGCCAGGGACAACCGCGACGGCGGCGAGGGGCGGCCGCGACGGCAGGAGCGACCGTGAGGCGGCTGGAGACAGAAGCGGCGGCAGCTAGGGGTGGCCACGACGGCGAGGGGCGGCCGGGACGACTAGGGGCGGCCGAGGGACGGCAGGAAGCGGCCGCGATGGCAGGAAGCAGCCGCAACGGCTAGGGGCGCGCTCAAACGGCCAGGGGGCCTGCGAGGAGCGGGCGCGAAACGGCCAGGGCGCCGGCTTGGAGGGGCTCAACAGCCAGGGGGCCGGCTAGGGACGAGTGCGAACGGCCAGGGGGGCTGGCTAGGGACGAGCACGACGGCCAGGGGGCCGGCTAGGAACGTAGGGGCGGAAGCGTGAGCGGGCTAGGGGGGGATCTAACCTACTATGATACCATATCAGAAAGAAAAATGATTGAACTAGAATGAGTGTGTACAAGGATATATAAACTAGGGTGTTGTACCCTCTAAGGCACAATCCAGTATAGTCTACTGTAACAACCTAAGTTACATTTGACAGTCTCAAGCAACGAGCGGTGGAAGTGACTTGGAGAAAGTGTCAATACTGTAATATGCCCTCCGACACTGTATCAGACGATGCCATACTGTACTCGTTCTGGCGAAAGCACCTGTCATAAATTGGTGGCTGGCTAATCGGCAATCTCCATGGGTAGTTGTTGGGGCAACTTACCCGCATCCCGATTAGAGCCGATGCTGCGCCTAGAGAACAGGAACCTGCAAGAAAGGAAATAGCCGACTCAGTTTCCGATGTAGTCGTTCTTCCTGGGCAGAGTCTTGGACCCGGTCCGTCGGCACTAGCCGCCGTCGATCGCCCTGCTACTGCGACGACAACTCCCAAGCGCCAAGGTCACTATCGCCAGGCCAAGTTACCGTTCGCGAAGCCGAATCTGGGAACTGCCGAGCCGCCGGAGTCGATACCTGCTGATGACGATGAAGAGCTGTCTGAAGACGATACACCTTCAACCTCTAGGAAGTCTCTAAGTCCTTCCGAGCTTTACGCTGAGGCTCTTTCCCGTTACAAGTCGAGGTGGCAGGAGCAGTTTCCCTGGCTCCTTTTGTGTAAAGCTAACGATGGGCGCCCTGCCTTTAAGTGTACCATCTGTTTGGAGCATGCAGGGCTCTCTGGAAGGACTGGTCGTCGTGGGCCAGGAATCACAGACGCACAAAGACAGGCGTTCAACAGGCACGCTGGTACCGGAAAGCACCGCCTCGCGTTCGGGAAGCAAAACGTTCTGCTGCAGGAAGCTACTACCCAGACGCGAATCGATCAGAACCCGCACGCCGCGGATTTGGAGAGGGAGCGAGTGACTGCGCTTCCTGACCTGCTGTACACATGTTGCAAGACCAACGAACCCATGGACACATGGGTCACGATCACCAACCACCTTGCGTCACGGAAGTTCAAGAACTTCCCCGAGGGCGGATACGGGACGTACATGAACTCGTAAGGCCTAAATTCCTTAGACTTTTAAGCTTCTGATTCTTACTTTCCATCCTTATAAACCACTACTGACGAGATTTTGTATGTTATTAAACGCAGGTACGGTTTCGGGGAGTTCACGCAATCCACCGCGACCTGGCTGCACACCACCCAGCTGGAGCACCTCCTGCGGAGCCCGTTCATCGGACTTAGCCTCGACGAGAGCACGGACCGTTGCAGAGGAAAGCACATGATAGTCTTCTGCACTTTCATCCGGGACCTCCGCGTCGTCACCGAGTACCTGGCGCTGCTCAGTGTTAACAAGGCAGATGCCTCTTCTCTGCTCGCTCTGCTGCTCTCCCACCTGCAAGCAATTGGTGTCGATCTCCGCCGCATCTCGGGCATCAGTACAGACGGGGCGGCGGTGATGATGGGCTCGAAATCCGGCCTGGTGACTCGACTCCGGATGCGTATCCCTCACCTGGTCTCCTGTCACTGCATCGCTCACCGGTAATTTTTTTTTTCCGCATTTGCACATATGGTGACTCGGGACAATACTAGCTATCACTCATGGTGGTTTGTTTGATTTCTCCCCATGCTCTTTTCCATGTGCAGAGAGGTGCTGGCAGCTAAGGCGGCGGCGGAGGACATGCCATTCTTCAACATCATCGATGATGTCATCAAGGAACTGGCCGAGTTCCTTGGTCGCTCAGGACCGTGGCACCAGCGCTTCCTCGACCTCCAAGACGTCTTCCTCTCGACGTGCTTGGAGCTGCAGGGTATTCACCAAGTCAGATGGCTCTCACGCGGCGATGCCATCGGACGGCTGGTGAAGGTCTTGCCAGCCATCGTCGTCATGCTGTCCGAGTTTGCCGACAACCGTCTTTACAAGATTGTCACGAGCTACAGGTTTTGGTTTGTGCTCATGTTTCTTGCTGATGTTCTTGAGCAGATGAACATTCTCAACAAGACTTTCCAGAGCCGCGAGGTAAGTTTCGTCACATGGTGTTCCTAAACCGCTACTGACGAACCATTGTTGTCTTACTTGTGTTCTCAAACCCCTTCCCGCAGCTGGACATGTCAACGATTCACGCGTCGGTCTCCCGCGTGACGTCCCTCCTCGAAAGCCGCTACGTCGACTGCGGCGACGACTTCAATGGGGGCCCGAAAGACCTGCTCACGGCCTTCCTTGCCCGTCACGGTCCTGGTGGTACGCGCAGCATTACTGTCGAGGGCGTCGACTCCGATGGGCGCCCGAGTCGATTCACCATCGACCTGCACGAGGAGCCATTGGATGGCTACCCGGGTGAGGGCAAGCACGACGACTGTGTCGTGGCGTGCATGGCGCTGGCAGAAGGCATGGTGCAGAACCTGGACGAGCGGCTGGGGGACTTGAAGCAGCTGGGTGGTTCAATGCTGTTCTGTGCGGACCAGTGGCCGAAGGGGTGGGAACGTGCTCCATGGAAGGCCCAATGTCTGGAGTGGTTCGGGATGATGGTCGACCTCTACCATGCAGGGGAATCCGAAGAAATTCTTCCAGGTATCTCACCTGTCTTTAACCCCGAGGCTTGCACGATTTGTTAATGTGGTCCGCTCTACCCTACTGTACTAATACTCTCCTCGTTCTCCCTCCTACCCTTCCCCTACTGGCAGGCATCAACAAGCGAGCGGCTGTGCTGGAGATCCCCCATTTCTGCCCCGTCCTTGCCGCCCTGCCAAAGGGTGACAAGGGTTTCTACACCGGCTTGATGACCATGCTGAAGTCTCCAGACTGGGAGGATAGCTTCCCCAATCTCGTCAAGCTGTGGTGCACTACGGCAGTTCTTCCCCTGAGCACAGTGGAATGTGAACGAGGGTTCTCCCGCCAGAATGTGATCAAGAGCTGGCTGCGGGGCAGCATGAAGGACTCACGCCTTGGAGACTTGATGTGTATGAGCCTGCTAGACTACGACCCAGACTAGGATGCCATCATTGACATCTGGAGAGCCTACAAGAAGCGGAAGCCCTACAGCACTGCCCCACAGAGCAGAGCCCAGAAGAGTAGGAAGGGGAAAGAGAAGGAGGACGATTCCCCTGTAGTCCACGACAGCGTGCAGGCAGAGGAGGATGCTTAAGTAGGTCCTAGTATGCCCATGTTAAATTGTAAACCCTTGTCTTTAAAAAGATAGCAATAATGGGCATTTAGTTGAACAGTGTGTTTTTTGTAGGTTACTCTGTTTTTTCAGCGCAAAATTTTTACAACACCCTGATTCATCAGCGTAAGTTTCTTTGCGTGGCCTGAAAAAACAGTGAGGCAAGGGGGGGGGGACCCTGAGCGATCAGCGTGCCCCAAAACGAATCTGAGGCCCTGCACCGAACCACCCCCTTCCCCTCTCCTCTCCTCTCCCTCCTCCAAATACCTCGATTTTTCACCATCCACCTACCCTAATTCTTCAACACCTCCCTCTTCCTCCTGCCCCCCTGTATCCTCACCATCCTTCCCCCCCCTAACCCCAACCCCACCTTCCCCCTCTTCCCCATCGTCTTCATCCTCCTTGTCGCTGCTCCCCTCGTCTTGACCCTCGAGAATATCACATGACTCATCACCACCATCCTCTGAACGATCACTTTCCTCTTGAAAGAAACTTTTCCAACCCCTACCATACCAATAATTGTAGCTCCCTCGATCGAAATCCAGGCCTGAAGGACAGTCATCTGGAATGCCCGAGATTCCCACACCTTCAAGCGTGCACCGCTTCAGGGAAGCCAGATTGGGAAACGAGTCTGGAAGCCTGACCAGGTTAGAGCAGTACAGAATCTCTAGAGTCTGTAGCTTCTTCAGCTGCCCCAGCGAGTCGGGCAGCTGGCGCAAACTGTCAAGCTCACCTAGTACGAGGGAACTAAGGCATGAGAGCCGTCCAAGGGTTTCAGGAAGTGCTTCCAGCTTTTCCAGGTTCAGGATTCTGAGCCCTTGCAGCCGCGACAGGCTTGAAATGGAAACGGGAAGCGACGACAGGTGCTCCATGTCAGAGAGTTCCAGTGCTGTCAGCGAAGATAGCAGGCCCAGGGACGGCCCAAGGGATTCAAACGGAAGATTTTCGAGCTCGAGACTCTGAAGGGACGGAAGCAGTGGACCGATGTCACTCCTGCTGCTGGCGATGGTGCTGTTACTGCTGCTGCTGCCGCCGCTGACGCTGTTACTGCTGCTTCTGTTGCTGCTGCCGCTGGCGCTGTTACAGCCGCTGCTGCTGGCGCTGTTACTGTTACTGCTGCTGCTGCCGCCACCTGAGACACTGCTGGCAGCAGCAGCACCTGCTCCTTGGCCCTGCTCAACACCTCCCACTGCTTCATCCCCCAGGATCGTTTTAAGCCTGGCGCACTTCCGCACCACCAGCACCCGCAGCCGGGGCAACTCAACCAGCGACTGCGGGAGAGAAACCAGCCCGTCCAGCTTGGAGATCTTCAGCTCTTCGAGTGCTCCCAGCCGTCCGATATCCGCAGGTAACTCCTTAATCTCCGGGCAGCTTGATACTAGCAGGCTGGTGAGGGGGACAAGGCCGGAGATGGATGCAGGCAGGGCAGACAGGTGGCGCATGGCGCAGAGAGAAAGTTTCTTCAGGCTTCTCAGGCCGCCAAACCCCTCTGGCAGCCCACCTCTGAAGCTCTCTGCTCGCACGATCCGTAGGGTTTCGAGAGATGTGAGGCAGGAGAAGGATGGGGGGAGGTGGGTGAGAGCAGTGCAGCGCAGCAGGCGCAGATGTCGCAGGCTATGCAGGTCGCTCCCCATGCCTTCGGGCAGCTGCTGCAGCCGCGGGCAGTCGTCAATTTTCAGGTCCTGCAGGTTCGGCAGACTTCCAAAGGATTCGGGCAGCTGCTGCAGCCGCGGGCAGTCGTCAATTTTCAGGTCCTGCAGGTTCGGCAGATTTCCAAAGGATTCGGGCAGGTGTGTCAGCTCTGGCAGGTCAGCCATGCGCAGCGTCTCTAGAGCAGCCAGCTGCCCGAAATCCTCGGGCAGCGACGTCAGGTTTCGGAGTCGCTTGAGGGAAAGGTTTTGGAGCGCAGTGGCCAGAGTGATGGAGTCAGGCAGGCTTGTGAGGCTGAGGCCCTCGGCACCGTAAGTCTCTTCTAGGCTGAAACTCTGAAGCTTTGGTAACAGCCCGATGTCGTCGGGCAGCAGGGAAAGTGATGAAACCTCCAGGTTAAGGCCTGTGAGGGAAGTCAGGCGGGAAAGAGACCTCGGCAGAGACGCTAAACCGTGGCGGTCACTGAGGGAAAGGAGCTTCAGCCGCTGCAGCTGCCCGATGGATTCTAACAGGTCTGGCGTCAGATCATCAACGGTGTCCACGAGAAGGGTTTCGAGAGCCTGGAGCTGCCCGAGATCTTCGGGCAGCAAAAGAGGAGCCTCCATTTCGCCATTCCGAACCTCCAGAAAAGAGAGGCTGGTAAGAGAACCAGGGAGCTGAAGCCTGTAGCAATCATTGACGGAAAGACGGGTTAAACTAGCAAGTTGCGAAAGAGATTCTGGAAGTGAATCCAGCTGTCGACATTTTTCCAGGTGCAGCGACTCCAGAAGGGTCATCTTCCAGAAATCCCGCGGCAGATCCGCCAGCTCGGACATGTCGAGCACGAGGCGTCGGAGTGACTGTAACGAGGTGAACGTGTCGGGAAGGAGTTTGACCCCGCGTGCGACGAGGTGCAGGTTCGTGAGCGAAGCGAGACGGCCGATGGAGGGAGGAATGGCTTCGATGTAGTCCTTGCAATACAGATGAAGATCCTCCAACCGAGTGCACTTGCTGAAAAGGGAGCAAAGCGCATCCTCGGAAAAGCTATCGTACGCAAAGGCTCGGTCCGTGGCGCCAATGTAAAGCTCGGTCAGGTCGGGACACGTGTCGGCGATGCGAAAGAGGATGGAATCAGGGACGTGGGTCATGCTGAAAGGGGAGATGGCGATTTTCCTGAGCCTTGGGATCGACGAGAGCTGCTGAAGTACCCGACTAAGAGTGGAGATGCTGTTTAAGGGGATGCGGATCTGGTCTCTCACGCGACACGCGATGTCGTGCCAATGCTTGCACACGAGAGCGTGGTCGAACTGGCTGTCGTCGGACCTGATGATAGGGACAGATTGGAGGATCCTGGCGAGCAGGTCGTCGGGCAGCCGTTGGATAGGCGAGTCCTCATGCATCGTGACCAGAAGAGGGATCGGCATGATAAGCAGATATATTCTTCAATCTCGATCTGAAGTACGCAAGCAAGATAAGGGACCTCTATAACTAAGCATCGACAAAAGGGTACTAAAGTTAACTAATAGCTGCTGAACTGCGTCTGACCAGCGGAGAGCTTGGATGGGTGACAAAAAGGCGTGGTGAATCAACTCGTAGAAGTTCATATGGCGGCTGAGTTATCTGTAGAATAGGCCTAAACCTTCGGAGAGTCAGGAAACTTAGGTCAACCCAACAGTCATAAAATCGGACCCTTGGGTTGACTTGACTTGCATCAACCCCAAACTGTGATGGAATGGGATGGGACAGAGAAAGACGGGCAGGGGAGGCTGGAGTAAAGCCACTGGTGTGGGTTCAGGGCGGGTCCCAATAGTTCATTTCGGGCTTCGGGACACGATTATAAGAACCCCGGTACAAATCCCTGAAACGATTGCGAATTCGTAAATTCCCGAAATTGTGTCATAGTTCGCACGTGGCGCACAAGCGGGACGCCAATTGTCCACATGTGAAAAAACCGAGCGGCGCGCAACGGCCCAAAACGCAGTTACGAAATGTAAGCCTGCGCGAAACACAATTTTCGTACACCGCGGAAAAGACAACAGGCGGGGAAACCCATCCCGCTTTTGCAAACATCGGCAGCGGCGAGCCAGGGGGGCCAATCAACAAGCGGGTGAATCTTTCCTCGCCTAGGTACTTGCGAGCGCGACAAAACATCGGCGCAGAGTGGTCCAACTAGTGGCGCGTTCGGTGCGGTATGGCGTCGCGCGCGCAGATGTATTCGCGACGTCGCCTGGTTTTCGCCATCGCCAGCGGGGCGATATCCAGGCGCGACACACTTGGAACCCCGTCCCCGAACCTTGCACCTTCCGGCTTATTTACGTTTGCAATCCGAAATCTGGTACAGGCCCGACGCATGTGAAGGGTGTCCCAGGCTACGTCAATATTTAAGTCGTGTCCTGGCGAAACCTTAAACAAGGTGTTACTTGATAAAATCGGGTTACTTTTCACGAAATGAACGGAGTGTGAACTATTGGGACCCGCCCTCAGTAACCGACCTAGTTCGCGACCAGTAAAAGGTCATTCATGTTTTGTCAAAGGTCGATTGTCTTCAGGTTTGGCAGGGAACAATGTACGTCGAATGCTGTCAATTATTTCGTTTTCGTCTCGCGAACGTCGTGAACCACCTCCAACAACCAGAGGAAAGCGTCGGAAACTGGAGCAGGAAGAATGACCACAATACAGATCCTATTGTACGCAGGGTAAGGGCGTGTCCAGCGCGTTCGTTTACTATTCCCTTTGCATATCAGGTACGAAATTTCGACCTGGTAACCCGAAACTTCGTGTCCATTTGGACGCACGATAAATTGACGGTTTTGGCGGACACCCTCCAAACGTGCCCACACTCGTGGGCCGCACGTTTCCAAACCGAATGAAAATCGTGCCCAAATTATATAACGGCAGAAACGTCCAAATCTTGGCTCGCGAGAAATAGAACGCTTACATTCGCCAAGCTTTCGTGACGCTAACGAAGCACGGCGAAAAAATAAGAAGAAGAATTGGAATTCGTCCCGTGATTCTGTATTTTTTTTCATCTGGCGAGGGGCAAATTGAGCCCTCCATTTTTTTCCCTCTGGGTCGAGTCGCGGCTCGTAATGCGTGTTCGCGAAAGCGAGCGGGCCCTCTTTCCCGGGGAGAAATTCGGTTACCCTGCTGTTTTCGCGTGTCAGTCTGTTATGTGCGCGATGCGCACCCGCTTATTTGTCGAGACACGGGCGGGGCTCGTGCCAGCGCGTTTTGCTGTTGATACTGTAAATGTACCTCAACACATGCACACTTGGCGAATCAATATTTCGACGTGTTAAAAAAACGACAAAAACTCGTGCTAGGGCAAAATGAACGCGCTGGACACGCCCCAACTCTTACTCTTCGTTTCCCAGATCCAGTCACTCTCTTCTCATCTCATTCAATGTTTTATAGAGTCGAAATCAGCAGCGTCAAACTTTTTGTTCAATTTGATGCCGCATGGCAAAATCTTTCGACCCGTGTCCCAGAAATGCGATGTCTCAAAACATCGAGAGATAAATCCTCAATGTCCAAACTTTAAAGACAAAACTTTAAAGCTAGTAAAGGATTCTGTCGCGGTTTACATTCGTGCACATCTCCGCGACGCGATATTGGGAAATATATACGGACACGTCAATTAGGGCAGCCTGAAACAAAATAAAACCCGCAGTGGCCCGATATTCGATTTGGAGTGGCATCAACCCTAAAGACGCAAAGCCGCGAGTTTAGGGTTCATGCCACCGCAAGTCGCATGCTACATGAAGGAGTCCAAGCTGTACACAGTGCCGCTGAGGATCTTTAGGCGCAAGCGCCTTCGTAAAGATATTAGCTGCGTTGGCATCGGAGGCCAAGTGTACTACGCGGGCCTGGCGACGCTGCTGTAGCTCGTGCAGGAGGAAGTACCGCAGCTAGATGTGCTTCACTCTGCCCTCAAGTCTGGGCTCCTAACACAGGAGGATCATGGCCCTGTTGTCAGCGTACAGGACCAGGGCAGAGCTAGGCTGCTCACCTAAGTCTGTGGGCAAGAAAGTCAGCCAACGGAGCTCCTGTGCTGCCATGGCACTAGCGTAGATCTCAGCCTCACAGCTGGACTGGGCAACAGACGACGAGCGGGTGGACCTCCACGAAACAACACCTGCACTAAGGCTAAAGGAGTAGCCCTGGGAGGACCTGAGAGTCTCAGTGCCGTCGGCCCAAGAAGCATCTGTGTGCCGGGTAAGGACCACAGGTCTGCATCGTCCTAGCACTAGCCTCATGCCCGATGTACTTGCTAGATAACGCAAAACCCTCGAAGCTGCAGACCAGTACTATGGTCGGTGTCTACCACAGGCCATAAAGCGGGCCAGGATGCTGAGAGGGTATGCAAGATCTAGACGAGTGCAAGTCATTAGGTACATGAGGCAACCCACCAGCTCTGCGTAAGGACCACTAGGCTCTACAGCCTCCTCCGGAACTTGAGCTGAGAGTCTGTGGTCTACTGACAGAGGGATGGGCTGTGCGGAAGAGAACTGAAGGCCGAACCTCTCAAGGACCTGGCGCACCAAGTGTAACTGTATGAGAGTGATGGTGCACACTGCTCTGTCCTTGTAGATCTGCAAGCCAAGGTAGCGGCGCAGCTCTCCTAGGTCAGTGCAGGTGTGTCTCCTCAGCAGCTCGGCCTTCACAGAGGCCAGCGCGTCTCTGTCTGCAGTAGCAAAGACCTGATCATCTACGTAAACAAGGATATAGAACGGAGTCTGGCCGGAGTGGACGAAGAGCGAGGGGTCCGCAGACGATGGGAAGAACTACAGATCAGCAAGTGTAGCACGCAGCGTGTCGTGCCACTCACGGGGCGCCTCGCGTAGGCCGTAGACATAGGGGCTATCCACTAAGGGTCCCGAGGTAGCCTCAGCATAGGTGCAAGGGGTCGGGATGTCAAGGGCGTCTGGGTCACCCTCAAGGACTAGCAGGATGGAACAGAGATGGGGAGCGGCCTCTGACAGGAAAGCAAGGTCGTACTGTGTGTCCTCTAGGACGTCACTGCCAAGGGCAGCCACACCCCCGACGGACGGAGGGCAGGCTGGGTCAAAGACCAGAGCGGGGGCGTAGTCAAGGCGGCAGGTAGCGGCAAAGTCAGTAACAGCAGGGACAAGAGCCGACAGACTCGAGACAGGATCGGACGGGTCAGTAACAAGAGAGGCAAGGAGATGAGGAACAAGGGGACGTGCGGCAAAGAGGATGTCAGAAAACGGAGGCGGGGCCACAGCAAGCGACGACGGGAGAGGAGATGGGAGGAGTGGAGGAGCACAAGACACGTGGGAGCAAAGCAACATAGGGTGAGAACGCGGAAAAGGGAAGGTAGGACGAGCACGAGACGGATGACAAGCCCAGACGTGGGACGGAGGAGTCGGGTCTGGAGAGAGGGGAGGAGACACAAGAGGAAAACAAGGAGGGAAACGAGCTAGAGAAGAGTCCACAGGAGGAAACACAAGGCCGTAGATCGGCAAAGGAGGAGGCAGCAGCGACTGAGGAGGCACCGGAGGGCGGTCAGGAGAAGGAAGGCCGAGGAGGTGAAGAGAGGACACTGGCGGCGACTGCGACGACTGCTGCCCGACTACAACACCAGAATCTCCAACAGCACCACAGCTCCCTCCGTGAAGCCCCACGCTAGCACCCCCAGAACGGGATCCCGCTTCAGTACCCGCTCCGGCACGCTTCCCAGCACCCCTAGAACGTACAAATCCCAACGGCGGTGACGACGGCGGTTGCGGCTGTGGCGGCGACGGCGGTTGCAGAGGCGGCCGCGGCTTTGATAGCAACGGTAGCAACAGGGGAGGAGAGAATGGGGTAGGAACAGGCGGGGGAAGGGACTTCGCCGAGCCGCGAGAGCCAGCAGACCCCTCGACAAGAACAACTGATGGGAGGGGGGTGACGTGAGACACACCAGTCGGGGCAAGGCGGGGAGGGGGGGGAACAGGGGCGACCGGGGGAGGGGGGGAACCAGGAATTCGGGGGGAGTGACCGGGGGACCATGGTGGGGAAAGCGGTGGTAGAAGGAGGCGGACTCTTCAAAGGTGACGTCGCGAGAGTGAAAGAAACCGTGAGACGGCGCGTGGTAGAAGTTCCAATCAGACGAGTCGAGGGGGGAACCTAGGAAGACACAGGGGACAGTGCGGGTAGTGAGCTTGTCCGTGCCAAAGGCACGAACGTGAGCAAGGCAGCGACAGACGTGGAACGCAGACGCGTCACCAGGAGACTGTTGAGCATAGCCCTAATCCTGCGAAGGTTGCAGAAGTCTGCTGAAGCGGCATATCAACGAAGTTTGCGGACACGAGCCCTGCAGAAAGGCCCATCGACGAAGAGCAGATTTGTCAACAAGGCGAGGCTCTGCGGGAAGTGGCAGAGGAGCAGTTTTCGTTGGTGGCAGAAAGAACTTCTGTCGTAGTGGCAAAACAAGAGCGCTTTTTTCTGTATATCGCTTCTACATCGACATGTGCTTCTGTAGAAGCGGTCTCGGCAGAATCGAGAGTGTACAAGACCCTCTGCCGATTTGGCACTAGGGGCCATTCGCAGAAGGGTTGTCCTCTGCCGAAGTATCGCACAGAAGACATTTCTGCAGGCGACCCTGTCGGCAGAATTGACTCTCGGAAATGCGTTCCAACAGGACCTCGGACAGGGTGACACAAGGACCTGCTCGCGCAGAATTACGGTCTGCCGAAGTTCGGCA